GAGGAGAATGAATGGGAAATAGTGCTGACAGGACAAGTGAGAAACACAGCACAAAAACACCTAGGGAACAAAGACCTGGAGAACAGAAGCAAAACAGAAATGAAGGGCAGCAGCTTCAATGTGGAAAAAAACATGGAAGAGTAGCAACAACAGGAAGAAAAGGAAATAAAATTCCTCATGATGCAGGAAAGAGGCATCAGATAAAAATGAAAAGACCCTAGAACAAGAGCACAGCACCCAGTCCTTTGCTTTGAATGAAACTACTATTGTTTGCAAGGTTAATAAACTACACACTTTCCCGAGTTCCTTAGGGCGGCACTGACTTGTAGAATGCATTGCAAACTTCAGCTACCTAGTGGCCATCAGGGATGCAGAAAACTGGGATGCCTTTTGGTATTAACTTAAGAGGTGACAGCCATTTCCAGCAGCTGATTTTTAAGGAAGAGCTCCGATTTGGAATGTTAACCACTGCTGTGTGCCAGGCAGGCTTTGGGAAGGGAACATGAAGAGAAAACAGCACCATGAGCAGCTGGAGCTTGTTTTCACAGTGTAACTGATTCTCCTCTTCCTGCAGCAATCTGCAGGCAAATGCTAATTCTGCATTAAAAGTGCCTCAGTCCCATGAAAGAAAAGTACGATTATACTGGTTTTCTGTGGGATTTGTGGATAATCATGCTCAATAGGCTAACTGTACTCTCAGAGCAGCAGATCAGCTGTCTTGATTAGACTACAACCTTTCTCCTTAACCTAGGCAAACCTTAGGAAGGCTAGGAGAGAGAACTCACACCTCGGAGGTGCTGCTCCTGCTACAGCCAAAGCAGCGCCAGTAAAAGTTGTTTGAAAATAGCTGAGCTATTGATAGGAACAAAAGAAAACGTTGTTAGTGTGGAGGCTGACAGGACAGCTCTGATAAGAGACAGCCCCACTGAGACAACTCCTGGGGGGGGAATACAAACCACCTGCAGCAGCACTGCATCAGAGTGCTCACAGAGACAACAGCAGCTGTGGACAGCGAGGACACCACAGCTCCTGCTGTACCAGGCAGACAACACAAACCAGTGCTACGGGGGTGACGCACATAACCAGGGTGATGCGGGGCACAACAGACCCTCTGGAGTGCCGATGATGCTGTGTGGTCCCAACCCTTCACCCCACTGCCCCCCTTACCTCACAGGGCCAGGCTGAGATCCTCCTGCGGTGCCCCCAGGCTGGGGTGGCTGCAGCGGGTCCTGCCCGGGGAGGGGGGCGCAATCAGAGCTGCCCCCCAGCAGAGGTTACCCCCTTCCACAGCACCCCCAAACCAACGCTCCCCCTTCCCATCCAACCACCCCCCATCCAGCAGGTGTCCTCGCCCAGACGAGACCCCCGCCACTGAGTGCTTCCCCCCCCCCCCAGCGCTGGACCCGCCCCCCCCTTCCCCCCCCGTGGGCTGCTCCCCCCCCTCCGCGCTCCCCCAGGCGGCGGCACCGGGCCCCCCCCCCCCGGTTCCGTCTGCTCTCGGGCCCGCCCCCCCAGAGCTAGGCCGCAACCGGCGCCTGCGGAGGGCGGCCTGCCGGGCAGTAGCTCAGCTCACCCGTGCGGGCAGTGCCGGGGCTGCGAGCGGCGGGGCTGGGCTGCGGGCCGGGCGGACACGCAGGGAACGGGCCCGGAGCGGGGAAGCGGCGAAGCGGCGGCAGCGGCGCGGAACGGGACCGGGCCTCTACTCGCGGCGGCGCAGGGCGGCCATGGCGTGATGTCATCCACGCGCGACGGCCCCCTCGCGACGGGAGGGTGGAAGGGCGGGGGGAGCGCGCGCCTTTTTACAGCACCCCCCTCCCCCCCCCGCGCGCTCCCGAACCTCACCTTAAAGGGGACGCGCACAAAGAGGTGCGGGGGGGGGGGGGCGGGGATGGGCACAGACACGCAGGGGTGCGCGCACACACGTGCACAGACACACGTGTGCACACACACACGTGCACAGACACATGGGTGCACACACACATGTGCATAAATGCACCCACACACGTGCATACATGCACCCACACACGTGCACAGACATGCAGGGGTGCACACATGGGTGCACACACATGCGCACAGACATGCAGGGGTGCGCACACACATGTGCACAGACACAGGGGTGCACACACACGTGCACACACACACGTGCACAGACATGCAGGGGGGTACACACACACGTGCACAGACACACGGGTGCACACACACATGTGCATACATGCACACACACACGTGCACAGACATGCAGGGGTGCACACACGGGTGCACACACATGCGCACAGACATGCAGGGGTGCACACACACACGTGCACAGACATGCAGGGGTGCACACACACGTGCACAGACACACAGGTGCACAGACACACGGGTGCACACACGTGTGCATAGACACATGGGTGCGCACACATGCGCACACACATGAACAGACATGCAGAGGTGCACAGACACATATGCACAGACACGTGCACAGACATGCATGGTTGCACACACGTGTACACAGAGATGTGTATGGATGCACACACATGTACACAGGGAGGGATGCTCAAGCATATGCCCAGACATGCAGGGGTGTGCACACCTGCATGGCACAGGCATGTGTGTGCACAGAGTCAGGTACATGTGTGCACACACATGGACGAATACAGGTACACATGGAGATGGATGTGCACATGTGCACACATACGTGCTGATGGACACACATGCAGGTGGACACCTGTAGCTAAGCATGTGTGCACCTGCCATGCAGACATGCATGAACATGGGGACAGGCATGTAAGCGTGGCCAGCTGTAATGCAGGACATACACACACACACACACACGGACATGCCGGAGGTGATGGCTCATGCCTGCAGGGTGCAGACCTGACCTGCTGCTCCTGCAGGACACCCCCTTGTCCAGCCCCCCAAACCCAGTGCTACTCAGTGCTTTGTGCTGCTCTGCATCCTCTGCAGCAGCACCGAGGTCCTGGACACCCCAGATCCCCACAGCAGCCCCCCAGCAGCTCACCTAGGAGCCAGGGCTTCTCTGCCCCCTCCATCCATACAGGCTCCAAGCCCACTTCGGCAACCCCAGCACTGACTCAACAGCCCCATGGGTCCCAGCCTTCCAACCCAGGGCCAAATTCATATCCCGGAGGTGGTGCTGCTGAGGGCACCAGGAAAGGGCTCCCTGGGGACAGCCTGAGGAGCTGAGGGATGCTGGTGTGTCTGGGCATAGAGGATGCTCCCGCAACCTAGCTCAGCATGGGGAAGTTTTAGAGCAGCCCAGGGTCTTGATATGGTTCCCCACAGCCTCCTCCTAGAGAAACGGATGTGTTACAGTCTGGACAAGTGGGGTGTGTGGTGGTGGGGTAACCGGCTGACCAGCAGCACCACAAGGATGGTGGGGAACAGCTCCTTCTCAAACTGGGGACCTGCCGCCAATGGGGTCTCCCCAGGGATTGATATTGGCCCCAATGCTGCTCAATGTCTTTATAAGTGATGTGGATGATGGGATCAAGTGTACCCTGTAAGTTTGCTGATAACACTAAACCGAGTGGGGAAGACACTTGGGAAGGGAGAGCCACCCTGCAGGATGTCCTGGCTTCAAGGGTGGGATAATTGGCAACCTTATGAAGTTCAACAAGGACAAGTGTAAGGTCTTGGACCTGGGTAGACAGAATCCAGGAGGGCAGCACAGGCTGGGATCTGGTGGGGGGCAGCTCTGGGGAAAGGGTCCTGGGGGTCCTGGTGGACACAGGCTCCGTAGGAGTGAACAGTGAGCAGCTGTGGCAAAGGAATCCAACAGGATGCTGGAGAACATCAACAAGGGCATCACCGGCAGAGATAAGGAAGTCATTATCCCACTCAGTGCTTGTCAGGCCACACCTGGAATGCTGTGCTCTGATTTGGCCCCTGCTCTACAAAGAAGAGGTAGGTGGGCTGGACAGGGTCTAGAGAAGGATCACAAGGATAATCAAAGGACTGGGAAGCACGGGAGGAAAGGCTGACACAGCTGGGACTGTTCAGCCTGGAGAAAAGAAGGGTCAGGGAAGACTTTATCACCGTGTTCCAGTATTTAAAGGGTGGCTGCAAAGAAGGAGATTCCCTTTTTTACAAGGAGTCATATAGAAAAGACAAGGGGTGATGGGCACAAGTTACTCCTGGGGAGATTCCATTTGAGAACAAGAGGGAAATCTTTTGCAATGGGAACAACTAGCCACTGGAATAATCTCCTTTGGGAAGTGGTGGGCTCCCTGATGTTGGCAACTAAGAGTCAGCTGGACAGGGTGCTGGGACATCAAGTCTAGGTCATGCTTTGCCTAGAAAGGTTGGACCAGATGATCCCTGAGTTCCATTCAACCTGGTATTCTGTGATTCTATGGTTCAGCCTTCTAGTACCTAATGGGGCTACAAGAAACCGGGAGAGGGGCTTTGGACAAGGGGAGTGGCTTTAACCTGCCAGAGGGGAGACTGGGATGAGCTCTTAGGCAGAAGCTCTTCCCTGTGAGGGTGCTGAGGCGCTGGCACAGGGTGCCCAGAGAAGCTGTGGCTGCCCCATCCCTGGCAGTGTTCAAGGCCAGGTTGGACACAGGGGCTTGGAGCAAGCTGCTCCAGTGGAAGGGGTCCCTCCCCATGGCAGGGGTTGGAGCTGGGTGAGCTTTAAGGTCCCTCTATCACCCAACACAAACCATGCCACGGTGCAGAGCCCACTCCGCGGCTGGCCCCGCCCCCATGGCATCAGGCCAGGAGGTGATTGGCTGAGGCAAGAGGGGTGGGGCCGGGTGGGCGGGGTCTTTAGATGACATATATGGTAGGGTGGGAGGGGATTAATCAGTAGAGAGCTGCTGGAGGTGGGGATGGGGATGGGGATGGGGATGGGGATGGGGATGGGGATGGGGATGGGGATGGGGATGGGGATGGGGATGCGGATGCGGATGCGGATGCGGATGCGGATGCGGATGCGGATGCGGATGCGGATGCGGATGCGGATGCGGATGCTCTACAGGACCTTCTCCACTCCCCCTAGTAGGCTCCTAGCTGCAGATATCCCTGGAGAAGCAGGGTTGGGGTTGCTGCCCTGGGTTCCCCTGGCTCCCCAGTGCTTGTTGCCTGCCCCAAGGAGCCGGGTTGAGGGTGCAGCCGGGTGCCTGAGCCTCACCTTTGCTCCAGCACTGACTCAGGGCGCCACGTGCTGCTTTGCGTAAGAGCCGTGCTGGCAAGGAGACTCTGCCCGGGGAGGCTGCCACCAGCCTGGCCCCGGCCAAAGGGCAGGCACAGCCCCTGCGTAAAGCTGGCAGTGACAGGGCACTGGGTCACTGCTGGGCTGGAGCTGAGCACAGGAGGAACCGGTGGGAAAGGGTCTGCTGGAGTGGAGAGAACCCGGAGAGGTCCTGTCTAGGTCTGAATCCTTCTTCCCCGCAGGCTGAACCGTGCTCCTTGTGAAGATGGATTATGCCAAGTCCCTGAGCCTGCGCCTGGCTGCTCCTGTCTCTAAGTAAGTGCTGGGGAGCCAGCATCCTGGTGTAGGGGACATGGGAACCCTCCCTGCTTTGGCACCTCTTGGGTGGATGTGCCCCTCTCCACTGAGTCTTGTGGGGCTGGCACTGCCTGGGGATGGAGGTGTCTCTCAGGAGACCCCAGTCCCTCCATCCCTATCCCAGATGTGTGTCAGCAAGTGCCTCCATGACCCAGCAACTGCTGTCGAGCCCGGCCTCACGGCCCCGACCCTTCCGTGTCTGCAACTGGGACCGCAGCCTGCGCAAGGGCATCATGGCACAGAGCCTCTCCGAGCTGCTGCACGAGGTGAGCTGCTGGGTGTCAGTCAGTCTGTCTGTCTGCCTGCCTGGGGGCTGTCGGTACACAGAGATGTATGGTGGGCTGGCTGCCCCCAGCCCTGCTCACCCCCAGCATCCTTGCAGGCTCAGGCTGCCCTGCTCACTCCTGATCCCATCTCACTGGTGCTGGATGAGGATGGCACTGCGGTGGAGACGGAATCTTTCTTCCAGACACTGGAGGAGGGCACGGTGCTGATGGCCCTGAGCAAGGGGCAGACCTGGGCTGCCTCCAAGGTAAGTGCATCCCTTGGGGTGGGGGGCAAGAGCCTGGTTTGTCCCTGGGAACAGCACAGAGGTGATTTGTTGCTCAATGGGAGGTACTCAGGATGCTGGATGAGGTGGGACTGGAAGGGTAGGGGTACCACTGCGTAACCCTGGTCCTGCTCGTGCTCAGACCCCTGGATACCAGCTGAGCCTGTCCCACAAGCCCCCTCGGAGGATTGATGTCGCCCGTGTCACCTTCGATCTGTACAAGACCAACCCCCGGGATTTGGGCTGCCTCAATGTCAAAGCCACGCTCTATGGCACCTACAGCATGTCCTACGACCTGCGCTGCTATGGGGCCAAGCGGCTGATGAAGTGAGTGCTGGGGGGGGGGGGGGGGGGGGGGGGAGCAGGAGATGGCTCTGGGTGTGGGGATGCTGCAGTGGGGGACCAGCCTGCCCTATGGGTTGCAAGGAGGGATGCTCACCCCTTTCCTCCCTTCGCAGAGAAGCCCTGCGCTGGACGCTCTTCACCATGCAGGCCACTGGCCACGTCCTGCTCGGCACCTCCTGCTACATGCAGCAGCTCCTGGATGCCACGGAGGAGCCCAAGGAGGCAGAGAGCAGCCCAGCGCTGCAGCCCCCCCTCAGCCTCCCCCCCTTGCCCCGCAGGAAGACCCTGCAGTGAGCATTGGGTGCCCTGTCCCCCTCCTTTACCACTTACCCTAATGCTGGGGGGGGGTCCCAGCACCCTGCTAGGTCAATGCCTGGGGATAGAGGCTGCCATGGTGCTTGCCATAGCCTGTCCTTGCACTCCGTTGGCTGACTGGGGCCAGCGTGTCTCTATTGTCTGCTGCTCTGTAAATATATTTATTTAAGTAAAGCTTTGCTCATTTCAGCTGTCTCTCGTCTCATCTTTGCTTGTGGGGGTGTCGCAGCCATTTGCCCTACTTGGCACTGTAGGGCTGTGCTGGGTGGTGGTGCAAGAGCATGCAAGGAGGGGACCTGTCGCAAGTGCTTCCCAAGGGAGCTGCTGCCTTCGTTCTCCTCCTCCTCCCTGTCACCCCAGCACCCTGTTGGCACATAGGGTCTGGTCCCAACCTCTGTCACTGCATTCAAGCCATGAGGTGCAAACCCCCAAACCCACGTGCCTGCTGGCACAATCCCTGTTCTTGCTCCATTGAAAAGGATGAAAGATGCCAGTGGTCGTGCTTGGTGCTACTGGCACCCAGAGCGCAGAGGGATGTGTTCCTCTTGTGCTGGGATGGAGGTTTTAGTCCCTGGTCTCCTTGAGAGCCCTGTGCCCCAGCCTTGCACAACCCCCGTGGGATGCTGCAGCCTTGGCCTTAGCTCTTGGAAACTGCAAACACCCTGTAGCTCCAGGGATACCAGAACGGAAAACAGCCTGGGGGGCCACTGGGTTATAGTGAGCTGGAAGCTGAAGGGTGTCCCTGAGGGGGAGCCAAGGCTGGGTCTCTCGAGGGTGGGCTGGAGGGGAATGACCTGCTTCCTGTACTGGGAAGCACTTGGGAAGGCCAGAAAACCATCCTTTGGGCTTGCTTATGTGCATCCCTCCATGATGCACTGCAGGGGATGTAGGAGCTGAGCCATGCTTACCCGGGTACCCCACTGCAGGGGTATGGGGCTCCAGCACAGGAACTGCTGATGGGGCAGGGACCTGAACCAGGTTCAGAGCAGCTTCATTAGCTGATAATTAACGACCCATCAGCTGGAGCCCAGCCAGGGGCTGGTGGCTGCATCTCCCTGTGGCACAGAGGAGTGACACCCAGGGTGAAGCAGTGCTACCAGCAGTGGCAGGGGTGACATGGGGACACCGTGCTCTGCCCCTTCTCTGCAGGCTGTACCATGGCTATACAAAGAGTCATAGAATGGTTAGGGATGGAAAGGACCTTAAGCTCGTTCAGTTGCAACTCCTTGCTATGGGCAGGGATGCCTTCCACTAGAGCAGGCTGCTCCAAGCCCTTTGGAAGCACAGCTTCCCTGGGCAGCCGGTGACAGTGCCTCAGCACCCTCACAGTAAAGGACTTCTGCCTTATATCCAACCTGAACTCCCCGTTTCAGTTTGAACCCATCACCCCTTGCCCTATTGCAACAGCCCCTGATGAAGAGTCCCCCTCCAGAATCCCTATAGCCCCCTTCAGACACTGGAAGCTGCTCTGAGGTCTCCACGCAGCCTTCTCTTCTCCAGGCTGAACAGCCCCAGTGTTCTCAGCCTGGCTCCATACAGGAGGTGCTCCAGCCCCTGATCATCCTCATGGCCACCTCCATGTCCTCCTTACGCACCCAGTGTCCTGACCCCAGGGGTGACAGTGCCCACACCACCCACCAACACTCACGTGCAGCCACCAGCCCAGCTTCGTAAGACATATTTATTTCTATACACACTTATACACACGGATATTCCCAGTATAGCTTCATCTTGCCTCTAGTGCTGTCTCATTGCAGGGTCTGGTTTGTGGTGGGGGCACCCACACACTTCTTAGTGTGCCCTGGGTCAACCCCAGCCACGCTTTATCCCCTTTCCCACCCCTGTAGTGTCTATTTGGGGGCAGAGCCCCCTGGCTAGGACAAGGCCATGCACCTTAAGCTTGAGTTTCCCTGCAACATCAACCTAGGCTGCAGCAGGGACACAGATATGGGCACCGCATGCACCATGTGCTGGAGGGGGGGACCGGACCCCTGCCAGCACCACACTCTCTCCATGGGGTCCTTGACCCAGGACGCGCAGGATCCCCAACCTGGGGTGACATGTAGGGATACAGGAGGGACCTCTGGATGCTGAAGCATCCTCAGCAGAGCCTCCCCGGGGTCCTGATCACCCTGAGCCCTGCAAGAGTGAGGTGCTGGGCATCGGCTCCTGGTCCCCCAACCCCTGCAGCCCCCCTGAATGTTGATGATGGTAAATGAGGGGAGGGGGGGGAGGAGGGCTTTACTTGATGTGCTCAGCGGCGTGAGAGGAGCAGTAATACTTCTTATGGGCAATGAAGGTGGAGAGGCTGCTGAACCTGATATTGCAGAGGCGACAGTACCTGTGGTTGCTGTTGGACACGGACGCAGCCTTGGCCAGGGGGGTCTGCACTGCCCTGTCCGTGTAAGTAGGGGGTGTAGGATGCTTGTGGGGGGCTTCCCGCAGCCCCTCGGGGGCTCCGGGGGAAATGGGGGGCCGGGGCAAGGAGGGGGGCCGGGGGCTGACGCTGCCATCCTGACTGTCCCTCCCGTTGGAGCTGTCCCTGTGGAGAGGGGGGGCAGGAGGATGTGGGGGGGACACCGCGGGCAGCGGGGTCTCTGGTGTCCTGCCGGCACCGGGGACCCGCTGCCTGGCCATCACCGGCTTGGCCACATAGAGCCCATGGACAACACGGAAGTGCTCAAGGAGATCGCCCTTAATGGTCCCATTGATGGGACAGTAGGGACAAGGAGAGAGGGGTCCCTTCGTCCCCAGGACTGAGAGGAGACTCTTGGGGTAACGCAGTGGTGAGTCTGCCCTGGGGTAGGGGATGCCGGGACTCCCCGCTGGAGCTGCCCTCACCCGCATCCCTTCGGGGTCCCCCTCACCAGGGCTGCCGGGGCTGTGCTGACCCTTGATGGGGACAGGCATGGCCCCCTTCATCTTCTGGAGGTGCTCGAGAGTGCGGGGCTGCAGTGGGGTGGCCGGACACCGGTACTTCTTGTGCGCCAGGTAGCTGTCAAGGCTGTTAAAGCTGATGCGGCACGCGGTGCACTCATGGTAGTCAGCCAAAGGCATCAGCGCTGCCGGCGCTGGTTCGCTCTGCCACCGCGGCTTCTTGCTCAGGTCAATGGGACCATCAGCATCCGGGCTGGAGCGGGGCGACGGGGCAGCCCCCACTGGCTCTAGGACCGGTGGTGGTAGGTCAGGGGCTGGGGAGGGCTCAGTGGGGCGATGAGTGGCTCCATGGATCTCATAGAGCTTGCGGCGCTTGCGGGTGCGCAGGGGCTGGGGAGGAAGGGGCACTTTGGGGGCCGCGGGGCGGCGCATGGGGGGGTCGTGGCGCGAGGCGCAGTAGAAGCGCTTGTGCACCACGTAGGTCTCGTGGCGGCTGAAGTGGATGTTGCACGCCTCGCACAGCGTCTTGTTGGGGTCCTCGTCCCCCTCATCCCCTGCCGAGCTGCTGGGGCTCTGGCTGTCTTCGCTGCACCGCCCCAACCCGCCCTCCGCCTCGGGGGTCCCCGCTTTAACACCCCCCTCTTCTACCTTCACCTCTGGCACTATGGCTGGTGGCGTGGCATTCCGGCTGGCATCCCCATTCCCTCCTGGTGTCCCCTGCCCGTCGCCCAGCGGTAAGGACAGCAGCATCCCAAGGGTAGGAGGGCCCTTGGGTACTCCGGGGGGCACTTTGAGCTTGTGTGCCCCAGCGGCGCTGTCCTCGGTGAGGTGCCGGCTGGAGCAGTAGAGGCGTTTGTGCACGTAGTAGTTGTTGATGTTGTTGAAGGTGATGTCGCACTCGAAGCACGTGGCGCCCTTGGGTGCCGGCGTGCTGCTGTACACGGCGGGTTGCACCACGCCGCCGCCATGGCCCTGCTTCAGGCGGTTGTGCACCAGCTCCGACATCTTCGCCAGGATCTCGGATGCCTGCGGCACCACCGCGGCTTCGTGGCTGAACACGTACTGGGGCACAAAGATGGTGCCGCCGGCCGTGCCCGTCCCCGTCCCCGGCTCGCTGGGCACCGGGCTGGAGCCCGGCGTGGGGCTCACGAGCTCTGACTTGACCTTTGCCGAGGGCAGGCTGTGCGGGGACGAGGTCTGGGAGGCAGCACTGGGGCTGCTGCTGACCCCTTCCCCGGGACCGCTGCTTTTGGGCACCTCCGCCTCACTCACCGGGCTGCAGGCAGGCTCCACCTTGATGCGGATGGCCTCGCCGGAGGATGATGATGATGATGATGATGAAGATGATGATGATGATGATGACGACAACGATGATGGCCCTTCCCCGTTCTGTGGCTGCACTGCTGGTGAGAGCTTGCCAGCAGCGGCGTTAGGGGATGAAGTGGGTGGTGCCATGGGGGGCACGGCATCGGGGCCGGGCGGTGGGGCAGGCAGGGGGCTGTGCAGCACCATGTGCTGTGTCAGCGCTGGCAGCCCCTCGGGCAGGAGCGTTGGCAGGCTGCACTTCCGCAGGGATGCGTTGTTGGTCTGGCTCAGCCCTGCAGAGGGGAGAGAGGCACGGGTGCTACCCAGCATCCTGGCACAGGGATGCTCACCCCATCCCCAGCCTCCCTCCTTGTGGCCGCAGCCCTTGATGGCGATGCTGGGCTCTGTGTGTGTGTGTCCCTGTGGTACCCACCATGGGGTTTGGTGGCAGCCAGGGCTGTCCCCGGTGAGTACAGCTCCCCCTTGGAGCTTGGCTGGCAGATCATGTGGTTGGTGACCAAGTGGCTGTAGAGGATGTCCCTCGTGGTGGAGATGAAGCCGCAGCTATGGCAGACCCCTGCAGGGAACACAGCGCTGGGCTGAGCAGGCAGGACGGCACTCAGCAGGGCGAGCAGAGACCCGTGGGGAACGCATCCCTGTCCCCATGCTGTGCTATGGGGCCAGGGGTGTCCCCACGGGAGGATGCCGTGCGGCGCTCACTCACCGTTCAGGCCGTCAGTGTGCACTTTGAGGTGACGCTCGCAGTTGGCTTTCGTGGTGAAGGCGGACAGGCAGATCAGGCACACGAACGGCCGCTCTCCTGCGGGATGGACAGGCAGACACCTCAGTGCCGAGGGAAAGGGGATGGGGACTGTGGGGACACCCCGCAAGGCCAGCCAGGAGGGCACGGCTGCGGGAAGCAGGATGCTCCTTCCACCTTCACAAGGCTGACATGGGGGAAGACCTACAAGTGAGCTGCCCCAAACCGTAACCCAACTGGGGAAGAA